TCACAATAATACTACTGATGATCACAATTTTTGGAATAATCAGAAGGATAATAATAATTGTCACAATAACAACGCCCTCAATAATTTTGAAATGTTCCCTGATAACAAATTATTGAAATTTATTATTCCATAAACTATCATGACTTTCCCACTGATCTCTTCAAAAACCCAAAATTAATCGAAACAAACCCCAATAGTCAGTGATGGTATTAACAGCGCACGATGATGAAATCGCTCCAATCGTTATGTCTGGATTCTTCTCTCTGAGCCACGCTGATAATGATCCTGAATGCTGCTGATCGTTTTATCACAAACTGATCAATACTGGCGATTAATGTTACAGCAAATATTATGCTGGTGATAATAACAATAACGATAATGACAATAACGGCAAAAAAATAACAATATTATTAATATTAATAATAATAATAACAGTACTGGTAACGAATTAGCGAACCTGGATATGATCCGCCAAAGAGCAACCACCTTGGCTTTGCAATATCAGAGAAATACTTCTTATTCATTGCCTCGATGAAAACGCGTAAATCGGCGAGTGCTTGATCAATTGTGAAATANGTGAAATACTGATAACTTGCTGTTGACATATCACTGAAATTGCTGTTTTTGTTTAGTCGAAGTTTGAAAACAATTTCGGAATATTTCGGCTGATTTCGATCGTTTTCGCAAAATTTTATGGTTCATCAATACCATTTTGACTTGTTTTTGCCGATTTTGAATGTGGTCAGCGGATGGTTAGTGAATCGTCGGATTAATATCTGTTATGCAATGGGCGAATCACTTCATACAGTAATCAAATCAGCATCAACTGCGATCTTATTGGCCCTCTTTCTTTCGTTCTCTACTTCAAGATCCTCTCTCATTCCCTTTAACACTCTCTCTCGTTTCTTTGGTAATGCGAATGACTACAATCATTTCTAGAGATGTTACCGTACCGCCCTAAACGCTCGATGGTTACCGTATACCTGGCTGTTGGGCACAAACAGCAAAAAATTACGGTAGTGGATGACTCTCTCCATAGAAACGATGCTCAGCTTGGAATGCAGCAGCTCCATGTTTCTT